CTATCTATGGTCAAGAAGTTAAGAAGTAGAGAAGAATATTTTTTATAACTAAATAAATAATCATTTAAAACCTTATGAACTAAGATAAAAATAATTTTAAAAAATTCAAAATTGGTAAGATATGTAATTTTTTTAAAAATTTCTTTACAATTACACGGCATTTTTTGAATTAAACGTCTCCATTTGTTATCAAAAATTCAAACTATTTCCCTTTTGTACCCCTTCTCTTCTCTCATAATCCCATCCTTAACCTTGACAAAAAATTGCAATTACACATTCAATTGGTTTTCTAATTAATGAGTTTCGTACTAAGCTAAAATCACTTAGGAAACTCCAATTTATAAATCTTAATGATCTTTCTCAGTTAAATAGCCCAATTAAAATTTTACTGCATTTTTGAATGTCATTAAACGTTGACAGGGTGTTTTTTGAAATTATTAGCTGCATTTATGTCTTTTTTGAATTAAAAATACCAAAATTGTTCAGCATTTTAGGAGAAGATTTTTAGCATAGTCATATAAATTTTAAAAAATAATCCTCTGTTATTATTATTCATTCAAATTTTCAACATAAATTTAGTTTTTGAAATAATAATTGCAATGCCACCAGCAGTCAGTCCAGCAAGAAAAAATTTTTCTTATATTTGAATTTTTTTTCCTCTGAAGACGTGATAAATAGAAGAGCTTTATACATTTTGGACATATTTCTATTGTCCAAAACAAGTGACTTTTTATCATCTTTAATTCATTAAATTCACCAAATCTAAGCAGTATTGTGTTCGAGACTCTTTTCTTGAAGTATAAACAATAAAAAATATGTATTTAGAAGGTTCTAGAAAAGGTTAAAACTCACTTTAAACTTTTTGATTCTCCAGATTTGAAGGCCTAATTTTGAACCGGCGCCTTTCCATGCTTTCTCCGTCTGAGCAGACTCCTTCTTGACCTTTAGCAAAACGATTAAAAAAAACAAGAGTTTTTCTTAAAAGCACAAAAGCATGACAACCATTTATGAGTAAATATATATAAATTATATTCATGTAACGCCACGGCTCATGGAGTTTGTTTAGACAACATATACACAAAATGGCCGACCGTAAGCTTACATCCCTTCGGATAAGCTGAATTTTTACAGCTAAAAATATGATTTTTCATCGAAATAAATGAAATATGAGATAATTTTTGAGTTTCGCTAGGATTCAGTATTGGATATTTGGGATTCTTTTAGTTCTAGGAGTGGAAATAAAGGTAAAAACTGTAGACAGTTGATGCACTTGGAAAAGGGCCGGGCGAGTCGTCAGTGATGCAAAGGCGAGCAATGCACTCGAGTATAAAATTTCGAGTGGCGGGAATAACATGGAAGGGGGCCATATTCCCAATTAATGCCCGGTCAGACTGGACTAATAAAATAGAAAAAGGCCAAAAAAGCCGGGGAATTTAAGACTCTCTTTTAAACCGAGTACGAGATGAATAATTGCAGCAGCTTGTAAAAGGTTTTTACTGCTCTTTTCAGGCTTTCTTACTTACATTTTTTTCTGTGTCCGACCCAAAAAGGGCAAGATTCGAGTCCTTCCAGTCGTACTGTTTTGCCTTTCTCATTTTCACTACTCCGTTATTTTTACACACCCTTGCTTGAATCGACAGCTTTAAAGTCTGTCTTTGTTTAATTTATGCTAGGAGAATATTTAAATTTGTAAATATGAACAAATATGTGCTAAACTGTGGTGTTTCATTGGCTTAGCAAAACAAAACAGTCTTAAAATTTTCATCTGCTTTGTCTTTCCATTATTATTGCTTTAATGAAACTTCTATTTGTCCTTGGAGTAATTTCACGTACATCCAGCAAAAAAAATAAATATTTAGATCATAAAAATGGAGTAAGGATAATCGAATGATAAAGATGTATTAAATTTACTAGACCACGCCCACGCTAAAACGACAGGTAGAAAGGTGCTTGTCTGTGTAGCAAAAATGTAATACCAGTTGACCTCATCGATAGGTAGTTCATCGGAATGTGCCAACATTAAAGCGTTTGTAGATTATTTCTGTCAAATGAATGAYTGTGCCGTTTGTTTCCTGGATGGGATCCCTGTGGTGAATTTTCGAACTTTCTATAGAAATTGTCCCAAAAGTAGAATGCGAAAACAGCTGATGAATTGAACGTACAGATAAAGTAAACTAAAAATGGAAAGAGGGAAATAGAAAAAGTAAAATTAAAAAATAGGAATAAAGAAAAGTTGAATTTCTCATGTTAAATGAATTGTCATGTGACTAACATTACAACACTCCCCCCACCCCACCCCCAAAACCACACTCCAAAGCCTGTACCAAATGTTGCCCAAAGGTGTTATAAGCAAATAATTATGGTATAACAGATAAAGCTCCTTCAATATGTGCTAATGGATCTTCTTAATGGGAACTGGTTATAACAACAACAAACTTGTGGAGAACATGGTTAACCGCGAGACGGCAGTTCTGCCAGGTCGCAGTAGGAGGGGAGACCACGAAAACATAAGACCACGGCTAGCTTCATAAACTGTAACTTGAAACACCTATATATGTGTAAAACATATTTATAAAACACGCCAAAGTAAGCTTAGGCCTAGGGCAAACGTCGAACTTTCCATGCACGGAACTTAATTACATCAAAGAATGCCGCCTCATTATCACCTGATATCCATTGTTTTTAATGAGTTCGGTGCATGGAAAGTTCGACGTTTGCCCTAGGCCTTATTAGTAAGGATTCGTGTACAGTTTGAAAGGTTTTACAAGTGATTTCCACTAATTAACATCTGCTTATTATCTCAGGTGACCAAGTTTCTGACATGTTGCAAGACCGACATGTTGCATCACCGAGCTTGGCTTTTCATATGTTACTATTTGAGAACTTTTACTTTAAGGTGAGTGTCAATTTGCACAAACATGTCACGTGACCTATTTCCGTTACATTGGAAGACAGGAATAAACCTCTAGCTTAAAATTAGCTTGAGCGAATATGTTTACCCATTTCTAACGTCTCATTTTCTAATATTTTTGTGGGTTAATGGAAATTGGAACAACATGTAGCATGCATTTAATTTTAATGGCTTCCACTAATTCGCACCAATCAAAAGCCACACGGACATCAACACTAACCAATCACAAGGCTTGAATATGGAAACCAATTGAGTGCTCTACTTACCCACAGTTAGTCACTTGGAGGTCCATTTGCTTGAAAAAAGAAGACCACAGTGCCGACCAAAGGAGCCCCACTTACCAGTAAAAGCCTTTTTGTGCATTTGTACTTAGGATTTGTCTTGCCAAAATGTGTGTCCTCTCTTAGGAAGTCAATTGGGGGGAGGGGGGGGAGGGTCTTTTGATTTTAAAATCATATTAATCATAATTTTGTTGGTGACGAAAATCAATTTAGGACCATACCTCCAGACCCAGTTTTTACCGGCCCCTTGCATTGATCAGCATACATGGTGTTTCAAGACGTGTTCGTGTTGGTGGGGAAATAGTTATGCGTCTTTAATCAAACAATCACTTCTCTAAGTATCTAATTACAACTGCGTAAGCTAATATTGTAACACATGGTATCATGGGTCTAGATATATGATCAATAATCACTTAGGATCTGGAACGAGAATTTGACGAAGCCGGTTTTATGACAACCTCGTTCCCAGGGCTTACTCTTCTTGCTTTTTTCAAGATGGCGGAGCTCGAAGGAAAGACCTCTTTCCTTCGAGCGCCGCCATCTTGAGAATGGAGTTGTTGTTATTGACGGCAAAATGAACAATAACTAAAACGATATTTAATTCATGTTTATTAATATTCGTTACTAACTAATATAATAAGAAAAAACAAGAAGAGAATCTCGCTTCTCATAGAAAAGTTATACCAGTGGGCTGTTATCATTAGACCTATATAGTAGCGTAGCCAATCACAGTGCAGGATTTCTAATAATTCACTGGTATATTCACTGTTTGTGGTGCATGGTATTGATGATGTGCAAGGGCGGATGTAAGATGATGGTTTTAGAAATACTGCTGATATGTCAAAGGGGGTTTAGATACTGAATGAATAGAACATGAGGTCAAATTGAGTCCAGATACTGAATGAATGGAACATAAGGTCAAAGGGGGTCCAGATACTGAATGAATGGAACATGAGGTCAAAGGGGGTCCAGATACTGAATGAATG